AATAAATAAATAATAAAAAATAAAACTTGTTCAGTCCTTGACATTTTTTAAATCATTTCTTTGCCTTCCTCCATGCCTCCCACACCCTGTATTTATTATGACTGTTAGGTCTTACCTAAAATGAACTGCCATTCCTTAGAACTACTTACGATGTTCCCACAGTTTTTCAACAACAGTATCACTTTATCTAACTTTAGCTAGATTATAGTTCTGAGTACTAATTAACTCAGTTTTTTCCCCTGTCTTCCAATAAAAGTCACATAGGCATGTAGAAATCTAGGAAAGATTTCATTGTTTACAACTCACAGAGCAAATGCCACCTGCAAACTCCAGCTAGGTATGATATGGTCATTTCAAGCTAATTCAAAGTTGAATCATAAGGGTGCTAGCCAGGCCTTGTAAGTCATATCTGAAATGTCTTAACTTGGTCAGTGTTGGTAATATACCCTTACATAATACACCCTTAAAGACTCTAGGTGATTAAGTTGTATAAGGTGCTTTTGTAGCAATATGTCAGTCATGAAGTTGTCTTTTATGGTCTTCAGACCAACTGCAGGCCCATGAGTGAAATGACACTGTGTTGTTGTTTAGTTTGTGTGTTTGCAAATACATACGTGTGCACATGCCAGTACTAGGGGTTGATTTTGTTTTTTGTTTTTTTCTTTGCATGCTCAAATGCAAAATAGACTCTGGGACAGTAAAAAGATAAATGTAAAGTAAAAAGGTAGATGTGTTGTTATTTCCAAATAAATTATTCATTGGATTTTTGAGTTCCAGTTTACTATGTGTTCTTTTTTGCTAAGACTATACAATGTGTTATTACATGTGTGTCTGTTGTAGCCAGGGAACTCTCATCTAGACATCTTCAGTGTCTTTGAATTTCTACCATTTATATATTATTCTGAAGTATTCAAACTTTTTTTTAATGGCATGTTACATAAAATCTACTTGATGGGCAATGGTGGTTCACTTCTGTAATCTCATCTACTTAGGAGGTGGAGGCTGAGATCTGAACAATCTCAGTTTGAAGCCAGCCCAAAGAGAAAAGTCTGCAAGACTTTAATCAATGAAAAGCTGAACTTCTGGAAGGGTTACTCAAGTGGTAATGCACCAGCCAAGCTGGTGCAAACCTTGGTACCAACATAAATAAACAGAATGAGTGGATGGATGAGTGAATCTAATTGTTTAGCAAGTACTTAAAGTCAGATTCAGCAACTGTGGAGGAAATACACTAGATATATTTTTCCTTTTTGTACCTGCCCACAGCCTGGTCTCAGTCCTCCTCCATACCAGCAGCCAGACTTAGCACATAACTCTTGAGTTGAAGGCAACTAAAGAAATGATCAGAAAGTGGATATGTTAAATTGGGACAAAGGTAAAACTACTTAAAGATAATTTTTTTAATGAAAATTGCTGAGTCAGCCCTGTGTTGTAGAAGAAATGCATCAGTAGCACTGCTGACTGCTATAGATTGTGGGGAAAGAGATAATGCATATAGTCCCAGCACTGTCTGCCTTGTCAGACGCCTTCGGCTGTAGATAACCACACTTTTTAGAAGAGCACGTTAGGCTTTCAAGTGATAGTGTTGCTCTTCTATTATCGCTTATAATGACTTTGTTGAAGTTGGGGAGTTTCCCCTGTGGGCACCTTTCATATCTTCTGACTGCTCTAGGGCCCAAGAAGGAGCACATTTTAACAGCAATTCCAATTTTGTATTTGGGGCTTTGAGAAGAATCTCCAAGAACCTGAATATAGAGAACTGACTTGGTAGTTATTTGGCTATGATGGGTTTCTCAGTTGCACACTTATCCATTTATTGTCCCTTTACCCAGTCATCATTCTCTATCGTGTTTATGCAGTTAAATGTCATGTGTCAGTATATTTCCTACTAAATAACTTCCCTGTGTCTATCACTAACTAGAACTCAGTGTTTGCATTCAGTTTTTTTCTTTGTTGTCAAATTTACATGTAATGAAATGTATAAGGGGGCTGGGAAGGTGGCTCAATGGTAGAGCGCTTGCCTTGCATGTTTGAGGCCCTGGGTTCGATTCCTCAGCACCACATAAGCAAAAAGAAAAAAGCTGGAAGTGGCGCTGTGGCTCAAGTAGAGCTCTAGCCTTGAGCTGAAGAGCTGAGGGACAGTGTCCAGGCCCAGAGTTCAGGCCCCACGACTGGACCCCCCCCCCAAAAAAAAAATGTGTAAGTGCTAATCATACCATTTAATGAGTTTTGACACATGAACGTGCTTGTTTAAACAAAATCTCAATCAATATTTAGGACAGTATGCTATTATTCCAGAAAGTTCCCTCATGTCCTTCTGTATCAGTCCCCACCCTTCTTGCCAACCTCTGCCTACTCAATCCAAGACTACCAGGTTCTGTTTTATTACCATAGATTACTTATGTCTGCTCAACTTTATATGGATGAAATCATGCAGTGGTAGGTATTCTTGGGTCAGTCTGTCTTTTGTTCATTAGAGATTTGTTTCCCATCTCTCTCTCCTGATATATATATATATATACATACATACATATACATATTAATGGATTGTCCTTTTAGAGGAGAAGAAGAGTGAAGGTTGAACTCAGGGCCTTGCACATGCTAGGTAAATAAGCAATCTGGCTGAGCTGACATCACTAGTTAGATAGTATTCCTCTGTGTGAATATACTACTGTTTGTTGATCCATAGGCCTATTGATGAACACCTGTTTCCCATGAATAAAGCTGCTATGAACATTCTAGTATAAGTTGTTGTGGGGTTTTTTTAGACATGTGTTTTCATTTCTCTTAGGGAAAAAAAAATGCCCAAGAATAGAATTGCTGGGTCTTAAAGAGTAGGTAATTGTTTAGTTTCATAAGTAACTGCTAGAACTTTTCCCAAAGCAATTGTACTGTTGTATATTTGCACAGAACATAGGGAAATCCAGGCCTCCACATCCCGGCCAGGCTTCTGGGAAATAATACAGCGGTAGGGTGCTGTGGTTTTAATTTGTGTTTCTCTGATGATTAATAATGATAATGATTTTTCATGTTCTTACTGGCCTTGCATAGGCCTTTTTGTGAGGTATTTTTTTCAAGTCATTTTCCCATTTTCATTGTTTGCCTTGTTCAAAAATACTAAGCTGCACAGATTCTTTATGTCTCCTAGATACCAGTCCTTTGTGAGACATAAGTTTTATAAATATATATCCTCCCATGTTTCCCTGTTTTCCTGGTTCCTTTTGGTGAGGAGGAGGGGTTTTGTGTGTGTGTGTGTGTGTGTGAAGTCTAATTTTTCTATCTTGGTGGGTTTTGCTGTGTCCTGAGAAACCTTTGTTAGCACACTCTTCCCCTCCCCCCAGTGAAGAAGACAGCCTCATGTTTTGTTCCTAAGCCCTATGGTTTCAGCTGTAGCGTGCAGGCCTGAGCTCCATCTTGAACGGATTTTCTGATTTATTGGAATGTTAAGGTATAAAGCAAAACCTCTCATGGCAATTCTGTTTTGATTTGATCGTTTTAAAATATAACTTGGCAGTCTATGTTTGGATTAAAATAAACTGATGTGGTGAAGTGACTCACTGAATGGAGGCGTGTGAGGCTCCATCAAAGTGGGACCTGACTGAGTGAAGAGACAGGCCAGGCATTACTCCCCTGGGCTGAGGCTGTGGCTCTAGCAGGGGTCAGTCTTGCCTTTGAGGGATAAAGGCACTTTAGCTATTAGCAATTGAGAGCTTTTGAGAATAACTACTTAACCATTTTAGAGATGTTAGCTTAGTCACTTAAGTTTTGAGTATAATGGTGAATTTGTCTACAGTCATTGTACTGTGTCTTGAGAAGCTCTTCGCTCATAAGCCAAGTGGAGGGAGCTAACCTAGAGTCTCCATAGAGCACATGAGCAATTCCCAGGGTTTGTTGGAAGTTCTGCTGTGGGTTTGAATGCCTACTTTCTGAGAGAAGCCAGTGTTGAAAGGTGAGATCTCCCATCACAACTCTTTTAACAGTAAATAATTGAACATCGTGTCTTAACACTATAAAAAGTGATTCATTTGGTTTAAAAAGAAGTTTGAAGTCCTTTGAAACAAAAAACATGTTTTAAATGTGATTCTTCTGTTAGTTAAAGGCCAAGTGCCAGTGGCTCATGCCTACAATCCTCGCTACTCAGGAGGCTGAGATCTGAGGATCGCAGTTCAAAGCCAGGAAAGTCTGTGAGTCTCTTATTTCCAGTTAACCATCCGAAAACCAGAAGTGGTGCTGTGGCTCATGTGGTAGAGCTCTAGCCTTGAGCCGAAGAGCTCAGGGACAGTGCCCAAGCCCAGAGTTCAAACCCCATGACTGACCAAAACAAAACAAAACAAAAAAAACCCAAAGCCTATATTCACCTCATGTTTTCAGTCTTCCATATTGCTATGGTAAGTATGAGTTCATGTATACTCATGATACCAGGCCATGAGTTAGCTAAAAGATTCTACCTTGAGCCTCAAAGTATGTTCTATATATTGAAAATACTCATTTCCTTAATAACTGGATAAAATACAACCTCATAAATGTCTAGAAGATAGTTTGAGCTGCTATCCGTAGGACATACTCAGAGACATTTGCTTAAGACAAAGAAAACAGTTGTTTTCAAAGCTTTTCTTTCTGTTTGTGATTTCAGGATGCATTATATACTGAACTAGACAGGTCATCCACCTCTGATCTCTAGTTAAAAATTCACTCCAGGCACCATTTTGACCACATCTGCTTGTTTTAATATTACTAGTAACCTTTTGCCCATTTCACAAAAGTGAAAAAGGTAAGGGCAACAGGAAGAGAGATGGTTACAGGCCAGGCGGTTAGAAAAGAAAACAACAGCAGCAAACTTCAAACTCCTTCCAAATCGGAGCCCTCATTGGAGTCTTTATGGGGCATACTTCTCCCAGTTCCCTCCTGGGAATGAAGTCCACTGATAACTTCCTGGCTGGTGACCTTGGCTGTCACTACTCCTCTGGGCCCCCATACTCCCTCCCTCTCTCTTTCATCTTCTCCTTCTCCCTCTCTCTACTCCTGACACCTAGGAGCCAATTAGTGGCTGGAGTTATTTTGACAGGATATGTTCCTTGTTGACTTGGAATGAAAAGGTGACATTATAGACTTGAAACTGAAAGCCACAGGAAGGGCCATCGGAAAGTTTATGTCAACAGTAAGAAGGAAAGTTCACATGTGTGTCCAGCTCTGTTTGCTGTGTGTAGAGGGGACCACTCACCAGCAGCCCCAGCACCACCGCCATTCTTCCAGTTCTGACCCACACACATTGCTGCAGCCGCCTGACACCTGCTTGTATTCCATTACTGCTTCTTTGCTTTTGAGTGTGGCAGCTGTGTCTCCACAAGTAGGCATGGAGAGTTTGGAGAAAGGAATGGAATTGATTTTGAAACTTTGGCAGGCCGTACTTAGTATTTAGTAAAGCAGGAAATTGTTTCTAGCCTTATACTAGGGAGAAAAAGTCAAAAGAGACCTTTACATGTTAACAGTAATTAAATTGAGAAGACTTGGTTAATGGCAGTAATCCTAAACTCTTTTGGCACATAATTTCCTATTGAACAGAAGCGTAGATTCAGAATTTAGTTTCCTGAAAACATACCACTTCACCCATCCTACCCTATCCTGATAAGCAGAGACACAGTACCAAGATATAAAGTTAACTGAATACACCCTTTAGGCCTAAAGCCATGTTTTTTGAAGAGAATGTTAGACCTGTGTCCTAAGTTAGCTGTTTTAAACACTCATTATTTTTGTGGCAATTTCTTTGCCCACTCCCTCCCCCCCACACACACACACCCAGACTCCTTTCTCAGTTTAGCAATATGACAGAAATACTTCACAGAGTAGCAAATGCTTGGATTAATTAAAAAAAATAGCTATCCTCTTTATGCTATTCTGTGATTTCTGTAGAGGGTTTGAATAAGGAAAAAACTGCAGTATTTGGGAGAATTGAATAATTTTATTATGATTTGAAATATTCCTCATTATTGAAGGCACGAAAGATGGCATTTGAGTGTGTCTTAGCTAAGGAAGAAGAAATGAATGTCTGTTAGCCTCACATTTTGCAGCACTCAGGGGAGCTTTCCTTGTGTTTATAAACTCATTTTCTCTGCATTTCTTCTTACACTTCCGTTACCTGACATGTCACCAGGTATAGTGTGTAAGTGAAGGCAGTGCTGAGGGCTGGAGTCACGGCACCACTCTTGGTCTGAGCAGGGCGCTTAGCATTATCTAATAATAGGAGCATTAACATTTATTAATAGGAGGAAGATTGTGGCATTTAAGCACATGTCATAAGCTATTCCAGATCATCAATAGAAGGCTGAAGCTTCACATTTTCCAGAAACAAATTTTATTTTCATTTTTGGGGAAGCATTATTTTTTTCTCTTCTTGAGGATTTTTTTACATTTTAGTATCAGTTAATTGTACAAGGGCATTTTAACATGTTCATATATGCATATACTTTAATTAGATTCACTCACTAACACTCTGCTTCATTTCCCTGCCAATAAATCTTATAACCCAGACAACCTTTTGTATTGAGGTATGTAGGTACACTCTTCACAATTTTGAGCAATTTTGGACAATGTCTGAATTTCCCCAGGTGTTTCTAAGTATGCTACTCTTTCTTAGTAAGTACAGAATGTAACTTTGTACATAATTAGGACAGGCTGAAACTAAAGTTGGAATCTAGAAAACTCCAGCTACCTGGAGTTTGATGCACATTTTTGGGAGTTCTCAGATGTTAGAAGCAGCTACAGATCAGCTAATGTGCAATAACTAAACAGAACCAGCAGAGGAAATAATGCATCAGATACTGTAATACAGGAACAGAGGGTTTATATGTAACATAGGCTCAAAGGAGAAGACGGGAGGAAAGGCCGCCAGGACAGAGGAAGTAGCAAGGCCAGATTTTCTAAGGAGAAGACTTGTCCTTTTCTGGGGCATTGGCTAGATAGCATGCAGGAGGTGTAGCTGAAGAGCTGGATGGAGCCAGAGGGTGGAGGTACCTGGGCTTCACACTGCCATCCCCCCTCCTCAGCAGGCACTGGGGACCCTTTGAAGGGTTTAAGACGAGCAGAACAAAAATAGAACATGTATATATATAAATATATGTACATATGTATATGTAGAGAGAGACACTTTTAAAATTCTTTTCTTAAAGGATAGTATTCAATTGTGAAATTGCTATGCAAATTTGTTTTGTTAATATGTTTGTTGCAGTGGACCCCAGCTTACACACTAGGCAAGCTCTCTACCGCTGAGCCATTCCCAGCCCAGCAGGCTGAGTTTGATGCCCAGTTCCCTGACTAACCTCATTCTCACCTTGCTTTGCAGGCATATCTTTTTCTTGCACATCAAGGAGTCCCTTTTGGCAGGCCACCTCCAATGTTCTCCAGAGCAGGCAGTGGAGCTCAGTGCTCTTCTGGCCCAGACCAAATTTGGAGACTACAATCAGAACACAGCCAAGTACAACTATGAGGAGCTGTGTGCAAAGGAGCTCTCCAATGCTGCCTTGAACAGGTGAGGCTGCTTAAGGCTTCTCTGTGTGTGTGTGTGTGTGTGTGTGTGTGTAATTGATAAATTATAATTTATAATTACCCAATTTAACCAGTTGTTTTCAAAAGTCCTGTTATCGTTTGAGAAACTTACAGTCCATACAAATATTTGTCCTTATATGAAATGCTATATATGACGAGAACATTTTTAACTCTGACATTTAAAAATGCAAATCTCCTTCATCTTTTTCTTCATTTCAGCAAGAGTTAGATCAAGAGACCTAACACAGGCCTCTTACTGATTCTAGCATAACAAATGACCTCCCCCCCCCAAAAAAAAAAAAAAAAACTCTGCAGCTTCAAACAACAGGAATTACCTCTGTGACTGAGAATATGTGGGTTGAGAGTATCAGGGCTTTGCTAGTCTGCCTATTCAAGACCTCTCAGGAGGCTGCAGTCAAACTGCTGAAATTAAGTCTCTTCTGGAAGCCTGACTGAGGGAGGACCCTACTTCCAAGAAGACTCCTATGGTTTGTCAGCTGGCCTTCTCCCTTGCCACTAACCTCAGGGCTATTCCATGATGCGGTAGCATGAGTGATCCAGCTGAGCAAGAGACAACAGCCAGGAGGGAAACCAGAGTCTTTGGGAATTTAACCTCAGCAGTGAGTCATCTCTCATGACTTGTACTATGTTTTCTTCATTAGAAGCGAACTAGATGCTCACACTTAAGGAATAGAACATACACAAGGACGTGTAATTACCAGGAGGTACGACTGTCAAGGATCACACCAGCGATGCTCTACCACAGTAGAGGAAATCCTTCCTTTGTTTTCTTTACTTAGAAATGATCTGATCAATCCTTCCTATGCTAGATGATGATGAAGCATAAGTTTGTATAGCTAAATGAATGTGTTTGGAATTCCAACATTTTTGTTGTGATTATATTTAAATTTTTTCCCATAATTATTTCATCACCAAGCATCTAGCATCCCCCCAAGGGTTCTCTGCTGAATCTTTGAGAGTCAAGATCTTGAACAGTCTTATAAATATTTTATAGTAAGTTTGCTAAATAAAAGAAACAGCAAAACTATGTTTTATGATTCATGTGACAGTCTCACTGTAATTGACTAGTGAGTAATCTTTCAAGAGTGTATGAATTGATCTCTCTATCACTTCCTACTCGTTGGGTGTCCCGCAGCATTATTGCGAAGCATAAGGAGTTGGAGGGAACCAGCCAGGCTTCGGCAGAATACCAAGTCCTGCAGATTGTGTCAGCAATGGAAAACTATGGCATCGAGTGGCACGCCGTGAGGGACAGCGAAGGGCAGAGACTCCTCATTGGAGTTGGACCTGAAGGAATCTCAATTTGTAAAGATGACTTTAGCCCAATTAATAGGTAACCCAAACCTTAAGTATTCTTTTTTTTTTAAGTATATTTTTTTTGTTGTATAGATACTATAGAGAGGGGTTACAATTACATGAGTAAGGTAATAAGTACATTTCCTAAGTACATAAAGCATTGTTACTCCCTCCTTTTTTTTCCCCCTACCATCCCTTCCCTCACCACCTCCTCAACTCGTCCCTCCTCCCCCCCTACCAAGTTATAAAGTTCATTTTCAACTTAGTGTCTTGTACATATCATTGTTACAATGGGTCAGCCTGTATCCTTGTTAAAGAATACCTTAAGTATTCTTAAACCTGAACATATGTGTACATCTGTAACTCTCATCATGAAAATAGGAAATGGGCCATGCCTATAATCTTAGCTACTTAGGAGGCTGAGATCTGAGGATTGTAGTTCAAAGCCAGCCCAGGCAGGAAAGTATACAAGACTCTTATTCCCAATTAACCACTAGAAAATTGGAAGTGGTGCTATGTCTCAAGGTAGCAAAGTGCTAACTTTGAGTGAAAAAGCTCAGGGACAGTATTCAGGCCCTAAGTTCAAGCCCCACAATCAACCAAAGCAAAAAAAAGAAAAGAAAAGAAAAGGAGGAAAGAAAAAAGGTACAGGAATTTACTAAACAGACATTTCTTGGGAATGAAATGTTCCATTTTGGTAGTCACATTAACTTCAATTAGGCCTTAATCACATTCAATTATTTTAAAATTAAAATTATTCTTTTATTTGCCACTAAGTCTATGGAAGAATTAGTATTTTTCAAATAAATGTTCACTTAATAAAAATCTCATTTTTAGTGAGCTGGTGGCTCAGACCTATAAAACACTTCTCTTAAAACTCTTAAGTTGGGCTGAGCACTGGTGGCTCATGCCTGTAATCCTAACTACTCAGGAGGCTGAGATCTGAGGATCACAGTTCAAAGCCAGCCAGAGCAAGAAAGTCAGTGAAACTCTTCTCTCCAATTAACCACCAGAAAACCAGAAGTGGCTCTGTGGCTCAAGTGGTAAGTGTTAGCCTTGAGCTGAAGAGCTCAGGGACAGTTCCCAGGCCCAGAGTTCAAGCCCCACAACCAACAACAACAACAAAAAAAACACCTGGCACTGGTGGCTCACATCTGTAATCCTAGCTACTCAGGAGGCTGAGACCTAACAATCACAGTTTAAAGTCAGCCCTAGCAGACAAAAATGTGAGACTTCTATTTCCGGTTAATCAGCAAAAAGCTGGAAGTAGCTCAGGTGGTAGAGTTGCCATCCATGTCAAAACAAAAATGAGAGTATGAGACTCAGAGTTCAAGTCTCTGTATTGGTACACACATACACAAAATATCATTTTTTTTTTTACTAATATTCACTCATACACACACTATTTCTCTTCTGTTTAGTGTGCTAGAGTAACTAGTGGGGAGAGATTTAAGATAGCCCCAGAGGAAGTGTTTGGTTTTACTTCCAAGTTGTGGAGGAGTTGGGGAATGGTGTCTGCAAAGAAATGAACATGTTGTGATGATGCACCTTCTGAGCTTGTTCACCATTCTCCTGTCTTGTAGAATAGCTTATCCTGTGGTACAGATGGCCACCCAGTCAGGAAAGAACGTGTACTTAACTGTCACCAAGGAGTCTGGGAACAGCATCGTGCTTCTGTTTAAAATGATCAGCACCAGAGCGGCCAGTGGGCTGTACCGAGCGATCACCGAGACCCACGCTTTCTACAGGCATGTAGTGCTGGTGACCTGAGTGTCACAGCTGAGATTTCTAGGTGACCAGCAGATTTCTACTGGGTTTCTTCTATCACCATGTCAGAGAGAGAAGTATAGCCTTTGAGAAATTGGCTGCTTTTGAACATCTTGTCTCTTCCACAGCAAAGGAGTACTTATCAATGCAATCCTGTTTTCCTGTGGAAAGTTACCTGTACTGGAGTCGTGCTCACATTCTCCTAGTTCTCCTCGTTATCTCTCATCTCGTTTAGTTACACCTCAGCAGTCTTCCAGGATAGCCCCAGGGGCTGAGCCTGCTGTGCTACAGCTCTTCCCCTTCCCAGCAGAAGGGTAACACATCACTTTCCCTTGGGGAGAGAGCTTGGTCTTAAGTCCTTAGTGCATAAATAACTAAGATTTCCTAAAATCAATGCTCATACTCTCCTTCCAGAGAGTGCTTCTAATCTGAGTTGTTATTAGTCAGTATTTGGAAAATGAAAGCCAAGGAATGCAATTGATAGACATTGGTATTTTATACCAAAATACATTGTGGAGAAGAATGGAGAATTTGTAGGTATTTTTAACAGAAAAGCCAAAACCTCCAAGAAGGTTGTCCTTTTTCTTCCACAAGTTGCTTTCTTCGGCAAGCTCACAGCCTGGAAAAGGAGCTAGATGTTCCTTGTCTCCATATTTACCACTGCTTTATCAAAGGAGCTTTAGAGATCCTTGAGAAACGCAGAGGTGGAGTCCATAAGCTATCTGGCACACACAAAATGGAAAGACCTTACTCTCAGCCTAGGCATAGTATGTACACTTGTAATCTCAGCACTCAGGAGTTTGAGGCAGGAGGATCTCAGGTACCAGGCCAGCCTAGGGTATACAGCCAGACCTATCTTCAACATACACACACACACACACACACACACACACACACACACACACACACACACGCATATATATATATATATATATATATATATATATATATATATATATAGCTTGCTGACACTATTCTTTCTTATTAACAGTAAGTATCTCTGAAGGAGGTCTGAATTTCAGAGCTCCCCTGAAACTAGAATTAAAGCAGATACTGGATCTTTCCTTGCAGGTGTGACACAGTGACCAGTGCCGTCATGATGCAGTACAGTCGTGACTTGAAGGGCCACTTGGCATCTCTGTTTCTGAATGAAAACATTAACCTCGGCAAGAAGTACGTCTTTGATATTAGAAGAACGTCGAAGGAGGTTTATGACCATGCCAGGAGGGCTCTGTACAATGCCGGAGTTGTGGACCTCGTTTCAAGAAGCGACCAGAGCCCTCCCAACTCTCCTCTGAAGTCATCGGACAGCAGCATGAACTGCAGCAGCTGCGCCGGCCTCAGCTGCCAGCAGACCCGGGCGCTGCAGGAGAAGCTGCGCAAGCTGAAGGAAGCCATGCTGTGCATGGCGTGCTGTGAGGAAGAGATCAACTCCACCTTCTGCCCATGTGGCCACACTGTGTGCTGTGAAAGCTGTGCTGCCCAGCTGCAGGTGAGGGGTGTCCCCTGGCCAGTGCTGCTGAGTGCCAGCTGTGGCTCCCTGATACACAAAGAATGTCCACTGCCCATCAGGAAGTTCTTTGTATCTACTCACTTAAAGGACATTGTCCTTTGGAAGTATTTTGGATTAGTATACTATTTTCATGGGCACAGATTCTCTGAGTCATAGTCTTGTTTTTCTCAAGTTCTGCTTCATAAGGTGAAGTACAAATGGCTGAGCCTAGGGCTAGAATCCAGTCCAACCTCTTCCATGTCATGTTGCCTCTCATTTTCTGGCACCTAGAGGGAAGGTTTTTATTACCTGCCCCTGGGTGATTATTTACCTCATTTTGATATTAGTGCATAAAAGTAATTCATAGCTAGCATTCCTGTGTTCTCTTGTGTCTTACATTTTCTTTTGACAATCATTTTTTTTTATTTCATTTCTCGGAAGTGTCCGTTAAATGTCATTACAGTTAGAGTAAAATTAGCCCTAAATGTCACCTAGTCCATCAGAAGCTTCTAGTGTCATGCTACTTCGGGAGCTGGATAATGAGCTCCCAGATCTATGCTGAGTGTAAACCGTGCTTGCCTGTGCAAGACTTTTCCTGCCCATGTATTCTGACTCTCGTGCCAAATTTCTCTTCATGGTTGACAAAGGACACGTGTTCACTGAGAGGCCCCAGGAAAGTAGCTGTTGCCTGTGAGTAAGAGCAGAGTTGAACACTCTTATCGTGTGTGTGTGTGTTTGCCCTCTAGCTAATGCTGGCTCAAATCAGTCATCTGAGCCAGGGCCACAGTCTGGAGGGGTCTCCAGCATGTTGGCCTGTGGCATAATGATCTACTGTAGTAGTGGCAGGACCACAGTCAACACAGAAGAGTTCTGTAACTTTTTATTCACTGTGTTTTATTTAGAGTTTAACAAAAAACCTAGTCAATTTCAAGTATTCATGGTGAAGCCCTTTAAAATATAGTAAGTGTTCAAACCTGATATAAACCAAAGATCTCTACCTATTGAAAGCAGTAGAATAAGCAATGCAGCCGATGTCTAGGGTGAACACTGAGACCTGGGGTCTGTGAATGCACTCTAACTAAAGCTGCTGGTTCCTCTCTTGCAGTCCTGTCCAGTCTGCCGGTCTCCCGTTGAGCATGTCCAGCATGTCTACCTGCCAACCCACACCAGTCTTCTCAACCTGACTCTGATCTAACGGGTTCCGTGTGCACACTGGACATGCCATGCTTCCACGGATTACACTCTGAACAAACTTGGGGAGAAAAGCTCACTCCCACACCATCTGCCATGCAGCATTCAAAAGTAAAGAAAAACAAGAATATACCACTCCACAGCAAAAAAAACCACCAACACCACCTCCCCCTCATCCCACCCTTCCCAGGGACCAGGAAGAGTTCTGGGACATAAATACATTCCTTGAACTTTGGGTTTTTTTGTGATCAAGTGAAGGAATAGGTAAAATGTTTGTCAGTTAAGTGGCAAAGTAGCCAAAAAGTGGGGTACCTCTTAGGAAGTGATATTAAGTCTCCTTAATATATCCCGAGGTAAGTTTCCTACCTGCAGCAGATTTTGTAAGAATTAATTTTAAGAACTTAACTTGGGATTTTTGTTGTTGTTTCTGGTTGTGGTTCTTTTTGTTTTATATGATCATGGAATGCCAAACGTTTAACAGGACTTTTTTTTTCTCTTGAATAGTCATTGTTACAATGTCTTTTCTGCTTTTCTGACTTGTTCAAGAATGATTGGAACATAAGCAGATTTTTACCAAGCAAGCCTGTGACACTTAAAAGGTTACAACAGCTTTGCTAGATTGAAACCAGCCCGGCCAGGGGAGAGCAGGTAGCTCAGCGTGAGTGCTTTCCTCCTCCTGTATTCTGTCCTGCACCCTCTGCCCCATGCCTTTGTATTATAAAGTGCTAGTCATTTGGTTAAAAAGATTTCTGTGAGATAGTCAAGCACTCCGTGGGCTTTTGAGCTGATAGGATTCTTGAAGACTGAAGACAGAGAGCCTTTTCTGCAAGAAGGGAAAATTCAGCCCACTGAGAGATGGAGCCTTCTGCAATACACAAGGGAATCCACTCCCCCAGGCACTGACCCCAGCTTCATCCCTGGGTGTCGCCTTGCTTGAACAAACCTTTTACAGCCTTACAGGTTTCTAGATACTGTCTCCTTTTGTGTGTATGTGCTTTTTGTTTTGTTTTTAAGCAAATGCTTAAGTATTCTTTTGGTTGCCTCCTCTATATCTTTCAGAGAGGCTTCATTCTTTTTGTTTCAGTATTCTTAAATATGTTTTTCCACTCCCACTTGGGCATTTTGGAAACTGGTCAGCAAGTGGGTTTTCTAGGATTTGGGAAACCTAGATGACCTTTATTGGGTGCAATACTAGCTATGTTAATGCTAGAAACCTACACTGTCACTTTACTGAGAATTCTGAGTATACTTTTCATATTGCCTTAATGTAGCAGTAATGTGTTTATGCATTTGTTTCTTTGCACAGACATTTTGTCAGATATTAAAACTCTACTTTTTTATGGCACATATTAGCATATAAGCCTTTATTCCAAGAGGTATTTATTTTTTCACCTGTAAAAAAATAATGTTTCCACATAAAGAACTCTGTTATATCCTAGAGGACTTCTGTCTTTTATATTCAGAATAATAAAGACTTTAAAGCAAACGTGGGTGTTTGTATTGTCAAAGTTATTGTCACTTAAGCAAGTTTTGTTCAGTTGAGTGAGCAATAATATCAAGGCTGAATCTAATTTGGTCCTATGTGGAGATTTTTGAAATGTGTAGGTTAATTTATATCACTGAGATGCTTCACACTCCTGTGTGTTTAGGACTATTGGGTTAGAATGTAGATAAAGGTATGAGAGACAAGATGGAAAGTAGAAGTTAGCAGAATGACTAGAACAACTGGAAGGGAGTGATGGATTAGAAGTGCAACATTGGAAAGCCTAGCTGTTGCTATCCGTGTGATGCCTGTCCCAGCAGTCTCAAGCCATGGAATCCAGGATAAGATTTGTCCTCTTACAAATCTTCCAGCCTCCTATTACCAGGCCCTACCTACCTGCCCTCCATGTGCCTATCTGGTTTAGAAAATGCTTCACAGAAATGAAATAGAATATGTTGTATGGAATTGATGACTCTTAAGTTTTAAAAAAAATGAAGAAGTGAGGGCCTATATCTGTCCATCTTCCGTCAATTTCTAAAAATCAACCTACTTGTTCATTTGATGCATTTTTGTGGCACAAATACATTATTAAGCCCTGGAATTGTTTTTAAAATAGGAAAGAAAATGTAGAACTTTATTATATACCTAAGACATAGGGGTATTAGATGCCAGCCCTTGAAATGTAAGTCATTAGAACAGGAATGACTCAGATCCACATATTATATACTTGCCTTTGTATGTATATTGCCTTGGCAATATACTTACTGTCCCCATCCAAGTTGAATAGTCACAGTTCTAGAATATTAGCACCATAGGGGATTTTAAGCATCATAATCTCGACATGCTAGCCAGGCTCATGGAAAGAGAGATGGATAGGTAGGTAAGTGGGGCAATGGACTCTTCAATTTGCCACCAAACAGGTGGATGTGAAAGTGTGGCTTAAATGGTAAAACTCTCCAGTAGCCACACACACATACAAATGAGTTACTAAAAATTGGCCAGATGTACAGAGTAAGAACATGACATAAGGATATGGAATTGGAGGATAGACAAGGTGGTGGACTGACAAGGTGGAGGAAGCAGAACCAGAAGTGCTTTCAGTGGGAGGCATGGATCGGCAAGAAGAGAGGGTAAACGAGAGATGAATAAATGGAGAACCTGAGCCACTGAAACTGGAGAGCTAAAACCTCAAGAGTCTGATCTGCCCATGAGAGAGTTGACACAGCTGGAACAAAAGCCTTTCATCCTTTATTGAGAATTACAGGAAACATTTGACCCATTCTAGCATGCCTATTTGGTGTTTAACCTACCACAATATAGGAACATGGAGACAACACTGCTCATTCACAGAGTTGTCCCTTTAGCTATCATTGGACCTTGAAGATCGAGTAACTCATAGACACACATGGATAAAGTATGAACACTTCCAAGAAAATGTTGGAAAAAAATATATCCTGTAGATTAGCACACTGCAGGAATCTAAACACAGACATTGGGGAAAGTACATGGACACAAGTCACTGCCCCTGTGCCTGAGGAAAGCACACTAGGAAATCTAGTGGGGTAGGGTTGTTTTTTTTCAATAATCATTAGTGTATATTAATTATAGAAAATAATGGGCCCTTCCCAAATAGTCCCTTTTTACTCTCATATGTTTGTTGGTTTGTTTAAAGCTAGCTTCTACACATGAGAGAAATCATGTAATATTTGTCTTTCTAAGCCTAGCCTATTTCACTTAACATGATGATCTCCAGTTTTTAACAATTTTTTCACACAATCAAAAAAAAGACCTTGATAGAGTTTGAGCACAATCATAAATTAAGATAAAATACAATCATTTCTGTCTTTCTCTCAGAAAAATCCCAAAGCATTTAACAATTATTTTTACATACATTTAGATAAAAAAAAATTTTAATTACAAGACAGAGAGCTAACCCTATGCCTTTTAAAAACAAAACTATGCCAGAATCATCAAATCCCATCTATTTAACCCATATGCCAGTTGCTAAAGGAAAACATGCCACTTGAAGCAAAAGCTAAACATCTGTTATTCATAAAGCTCACATTAGTGCTAAGGGGAATAAAAAAATTTCAAGGGGGGTGGTGAGCTTCTACCAAAGAAAAGAAAATGAGAAGACAGTGCCTGTGTGTGCTTGTAGAACAAACAAAAAGAATCAGTATGAAGACCAAAAATAATATACAAGTGTCTGTATTACTTCCCAAATGATCTTCCTTCTGGGTCTGGTTTGCATATTTATATAGAAATGAATACTAGGGAAATGGCAAAGGCTTTGGGAGGGAGATAAGTTCTTACTGAAGTAAGCACAGAATTTGGATGATGGTAAGGAAAACAAAGAACAAGCAGGTCAAAGATCCCACAGGTCAAGTGCAAAAAGAATGAGACAAAGATAGGAAAAAGAACAGTTCATAAAGAACTTGGCCACTGTAATAAATATTTCCTGTTTGTTTTGTTAGCATGTAAAAGCTATAATAAGGTGTTTGTTTTGTTAGCGTGCAAAAGCTGCAATAAGCTATAAGAGGGAAGGTTATTTATTTAATCAGCTTAATCAATTCAGTCTTTTTGTTAATTTATTCAGTGATTTGTTAAGTCAGGAAACATTCATTAAACATCTTGTGTCTACAAGACTCTGTTAGAAGGACAATGGCTCTCAATCTAGGGCCAGTTTACTCCCCAGGAGGCACTTAGAAGGTCTGGAGGCAGTTTTTAAATTGTTCCATTGGAGCTGTGGTTGTTACAACTTGGTGGGTAGACAGAGGCCAGGGATGCTAATAGCATTCTATGATATTTAGGATAGCCCCTAACAGAAAAGAATCTTCTAGTCTGATGTCATTTCCTCAGTTAAGAAACCTTGGTTATAGGAGGTGATATGTGTGTGTTGAAGTCCTCTCTGAAACACAAATTGGTGTTAGAGTTGAAACTGTAAACCAAATTAACTAAATGCGTCCTTGGGTACTATTGAGCAGCAAAAGGTCAATATATGCTATGCTTTAGCAAAGTGTTGCCAGAGGCCCATTTATCATAGGCTTAGTCTCCAACCTGAGGTACTTGGGAAGTGGTGGAACATTTAAAGGGTAGGACCAAACAGTAGCAACTTAAGCCACTGGAGATTTGCCCTAAAAGAGCATATTAAGATACAGACTTCTTCACCTTTCTCTTTGCTTCCTGACCACCATGAGAACAGACTGCTCAGCCACACAATCCCACCACAATGTGCTGCTTTGCAACAAGGCCAAGTGACCATGGACTGAAACCATAAGCCCAGATAAATATTTTCTCTTTTTCAGTGGATTCATTTCTGGTATTTTGGGGGTTATGGGGCAATGGAAAGTTCACTAACAGTGTCCTGAAAGTTTGTGAAAAGGAATTAGGAAATAGCTAAGTTCCACCATTCCATTCATCCCATCTTACCCCAGAGATCTGAAGTTTTTGTGAGCTCTGGTAAGTGTACAGCCTCTGAGACTTTAGTAAAAGCAATAGAAATAGGCTGGGAATGGAAAGATTGCAGTTCTAGGTAGCCTAGGTAGAAAAGTATAAGAGAATTGTTTCTCAGTGGAAGAAACTGAACATGGTTGCAGGGGCCGGTCATCTGGGCTGTGATGGGAAACTTAATATAGGTGGACTGTGGTCTAGGCAATGCCCAGGCAGGAAGCAATACTTTTTTTTTAAGCGGGGGGAGAAGGGGCACCTAGGAATATGGCTTAGTGGGTAGAGTGCTTGCCTAGCATGCGTGAAGCCCTGGGTTTGAGTCTTCATGTATCTCATAAGCAGAAAAGGCCAGAAGTGGTGCTATGGTTCAAGTGGTAGAGCGCTAGCTTTGAGTACAGAGAGGCTCAGGGACAGTGCCCAGGCCCTGAGTTCAAGCCCCAGGACTGGCAAAAAAAAAAAAGTTATAGACAGGGTTTGGTGTAGCTCAGTGCTAGAGTGCCTTCCTAGCAAGCACAAGGCCTTGAGTTCAAACTCTAGTGCTACCAAAGAGAAAGGAAAATAGCTCCTTACTAATAATTTTCCCTAGCGATAGAAACTGTCAGGTAATCACCCAGAACTTAAAGCTCATCTCCATATTCCTTCAGATGAAGAAAGTGGTGAGATAAAAATATAGCACAGCTTATTAGTAACATCTTACTGATTTTCCCCCTAAATGGTTAGAACACACTGCCTTTCCCTGTTCTTTAAATCTGCGTGTTTCCCTTATTAAAGCTGTCTAATTTTTTTCAGTTCTAAATCCTAGGAGGATTTTTTTTTTCACCATGAATTTAACATGACTGAGAAAA